CCCCCTCTCCTTTGGGTACCAGCCCTGTCTCTGCCCCCACCCTCACCCTTCCCCTCAAGTACCAGCCCTGCCCCCTGCCCCTTCTCCTTCTCTTCCCCCTCATATACCGGTCCTGCCCCCACCCTTCCCCACCTCAAGGCTCCCCTTTAGGCACTGGCCCTGTCATCGCCCTTGCCCCTCCCTGAGGCTCCCCCTTGGATGCTGGGCCTGCGAGTGCCCCTTCCATGAGTCCCCTGCTGCCCTTCTCTTGCTGCTCTTGCTTCCCTCGGACATTTGTAACCGTGCGGACAGCACAGCCAGGCCCCAGTGGTCAGCAGTGTCCATAAAGCGCTGCTAATTGCCTTGGACCAATATCAGTTCCCCTCTCCCGCCACGAAGTTGCTCCGGCTCGGCTCCTCACACCCTCTGAGCTGCCGGCTTGCCCAAGTCACCGCTCTAGCTGCGGGCACGGCCTTTCACGCGGAAAGCACGGGACCCCATTCAGGCTGGACGTTACCCTGCCAAAAGGGGGAGAGGGGATGGGGAGCTAATAGGCGCCTAGACAAGGAAAAGCCCAGAAAAATCAGGATTGCTCCTATCAGTTCAGCACATGTGGTCGCTCTGCCTCCAACTACCTCAGATCTGCAAAAAGTCCGTCCCTGCAAGACAGCACAGGAGAGAATCTCTCAGCTCAGCTGCGCGAGAGAAGCACTTACCCCAGAGAGATGTGAAGAATTATTTAGTCCCAGACCTTTTTACACCAAATTATTTGCAGATTGGACTCATCTCTTCTCCTGGCTGTTCTCTCTCCCCTTCCTGGCGTGTGCTTATTCTCCACAGCGAGCGTGGGGCTGCGAATGGTAAATATCCCCTGGCAGGGTTTTTTTCCAGCGAGGAGCCTCCGAAAACGCTGCCTTTGGTGGAGGATGTGGCGCCCGACTGGATCATCTCGAAGTGACCCAAACTGTAAATGAAAAGCAGACTTGCATGACGTCGGCCCTTCGGATGTCAGAGAGCCAGGATTCCCTCCCTCTCACAGGCTCCGGCTGCAAAATAAAGCTGGTCTCCTCTCTAATCACCTTTCTGAGTCACTGTGCGTGGGGAATGGGATCTCTGTTTCATACACCCTTTCCCTGCAGTACAGGGGGGGTCTGTTTTCGCTGTTACCAGCAAGAAGAAAACAGGAAATGCAGGCTGGTTTGGCAACGTTTACAAGTAAAACTCTGCTGCTTTGGCTACTGTAATAAGTCCTCCTTATGTGGGGAAGGGGCTTTTCTTTTTACCAGCAGGGAAAATTGTCCCTGCGGGTTAGACAGAACCATAAGCAGGGAGCAAGCCTGTGCTCTGCACTGAATCGCTGCTTCTTAGTGGCAAGAGGCAGCTCGGGGTGGCATGTTCCAATCTGCGTCTATATTGCAGCTTTGCATCAGCAGGGGTTTTCGTACGCTTTGCTGGACTTTTCTTCTGCAAAATCTGTCCCCAAGGGATGTGTGAGTCTTGCCTACAGTCCTCTCCATGTGCTGGAACAACTAGCTGAACAGAGTTAAGGATTTTGATTAGATTTGAATCTGGGACCTCGGAAGCAGAGTATAGGAGCCTCTACCCTCTGAGCTAAAAGCCAGCTGCCTCCTAACCCATGCTGTAGAGGTCTCTTGATCTTAGCTGTTGCTGTGGTCTAGGTACCACTTGCACTACTCAGTAACCGCACTAGGGGTATGTCTACACTACAGTGTTATTTCAAAATATCTAATTTTGAAATAGTTATTTCGAAACATTTTATTTCAAAATAACGCGTCTACACACACAACGCATTTCGAAATAGTGTTTTGCTATTTCGAAATAGCGCGTCCACACTGATAGGATGCTGAATCGCATTTAAGGCTGGCCGGAACCGGTTCTGGCAGGGCATCAGGTCAGGAGTTACCTGGTGTGGCTGCTGCCTGAGGCTATTTGAGACCTGTGCTTAAAGAGACCCCCCCGACAGCCGGTTATAAGGTTTCCCTGCTTGCTTGCCTATCTCGCTGAGGGACAGCAAAGCATTTTTAATCTGTGTGCTCCGGTTGCCCTCACTCAGGACACCACAGCACTCGGCAACATGGAGCAGGAGCCGCCCCTGGGCACTGTGGTGCTTCTCCTGGACGTGTTGCTGTGAGCCTGGCAGCACATTCTGCAGGCAGTAACAGTCTCCCTGGTGTGCCCCACTGGGGGCTTGTGCCTCATTCCTCCCTCACGTCCTTCCACTTACCCTCCCTAACCCCCCTTCCTGCTGTACAATAAAAGACACGAGTGCATTACAACAAAGCCTCTTTATTGAACAAAACTGGGGTGGGGGGAATGAAACTGAGGTGAGACTGGGGAAAGAGGGTGGAAGAGGGGAGGGGAAAACCTGGGAGGAGGGAGCTGGCAGGGGGAGGAGAAGCTCAGGGCTCAGTGTTGGGGGTCTCGCCGGCCCAACTGTCTCCCAGCACCGTAGGTGCGGGGGCCTTGGCATCTCTGGGGGCGTGGGGAGGGTGGGGAGAAAGAAGCAGGAGGGGGAGAAGGAGGAGCGGAAACAGGGGCTGAAGCAGCAGGAGGAAGCAAGCTCTGCCCCAGGGTTGATGACCACCTGGGGGGCACGGACCGTCCTGCCCCCCAGGATGTGGTCCACAGCATCAAAATAGGGGCAGAGGTCTGGGTCTTCCCCTGGTTGGGAGCTGCCCCCTGTGGCCCTGGCATACACCTGCCACAGCTCCTTGATTTTCATGCGAACCTGCTCCTGGGTTCGCATGTGGCCTTTGGTGGCCAGGCTGGCAGCCATCTGCCTGCAGATGGTTTCATTCCTCCTTTTAGTGCGGAGATCATGGGTGTTGGAAGCATCCCCCCAGACCTGAATTAGGTCCCTGATCTCCGCAGTGGACCAGGCAGGCGCCCACCTTGTCCGGCCCCTGGCAGGCTCCTGGGAGCTGGCACACTGGTCCTGGGGAGCATTGGAGAGCTGGCTGGCTCTGGCTGCCTGGCTCATGCAGGGGCCACTGGGTCAGGGGCAGCAACTGCTGGCACAGGCACAGGTACTGTGGCCAGAGTCTACCCCTTTAAGGGCTCTGGGGAGGGGGGGAGGGAGAGGAGTTTTCTTGGTTGTGCCCAGAGTGGCCACCCGGGCACCCTGGGAAGGGCTGGAGGCCCCCTATTTCGAAATAAGTGTCTACACAGCGCTGATTTCGAAATAGCAATTTTGAAATTGGCGCTATTCCTCGTGAAATGAGGTTTACCAATTTCGAAATAAGCCCCCGCTGTTTTGATTTAATTTCGAAATAGCGGTTTGGCTGTGTAGATGCTGCTAAAGTTATTTCGAAGTAACTTTGCTGTGTAGATGTACCCTAAGGGAGTTGGGACAGTTTCTGCTGGTGGAAAAAGTCCAGCTCTTCAGACTTAAGGAAGAGCTCTGTGTAAACGGGAAAGCTTTCTCTCTGTCGCTCACAAAAGTTGGTCAATAAAAGATATTCCCTCACCCACCTGGTCTATCTGATATCCTGGGGCCAATGCCGTTATCACAGTGCTGCAAACAAGATATATATTGATATTTAAGACCGTGGTTTTGGGTCACATTTTCACTCAGACCCGTTTTCAAAAATGATTTGGGGCCCAATTTCTACACTGAAGATGTTCAAATGTGCCCAAGTTTTTGCCAGTAGAGATTTCAAGCAAAGGGAGGCATCTAAACTGGGTAGAATCCCATTAGATGCTTTCTGCATCTTTAGGTGCCTAATCAACTTTAAGCATTTGGCTTTAGAAACAGCAACATACACTCCTAAATGGTTCAGCTAATGTTAAAAATGTAACCTGCTACTTCAAACCGACAAGAAATGTCAGACCAATATTTAAAGTTACCTTCTACCTCCAGAATGCTAGGAATCATTAATTGAAATTAGAATCGCTTGGTTTTGATTTTTCTTAAAAAGAGGATAAGAAAACATCTTTTTTCTTTCCTCACCTTTGGTAATTCAGCCCTTGCAGAGGCAGGATTCAAGCTAGCAGAAAAAAGTTTCTCAAAGTACTTAATTCCTTTTTATAGGAGGATTTACTGTGTTTGTTCTTGATTTTTCTGGTATTTCACATATCAGCCACATAGAAACTTGCTGGAGTGCTCGACTGAAAGAACACCCCGGAGCATTCAGACTGAGGGAACAGCCCAGTTTTTGAAGGAGGGCTTGGTTTGGTAGTCAAATACAGAAAGCCTGACCTGAGAGGAAACTAATTTCTGAGCAGAAATGTGACCCGTCTAGGAAAGCACCCTAAAATATAAGGAGCTAGTAGAAACTTTGGAGCTCTGTTGATTGGCACCATCTGAGGATCGGTTCCCAATTCTCAAGCATGCCATCTAAAAGGGGATTCTCCTGCTTTTTTCTACTGTGTCCACACCTTGATACATTAGCCCCTGTCCCCTTCCCCCTTCCTTCTGTGATCTCTAGAGATGCCTCTCACTGCTTTCATGATCTGTTTGAACCCGCGCTTCCTTTCTTGTTCCCGAGCTGCCCGCAATCATTCCTTCCATGGAAAAGCACTATCAGAAGTGCAGAGAATGTATTTTTAGCGGCGCTTTTAAGGCCATTTGGCAGCTGGAAATGAGAAGAGCCAGCACCTTTGAGGAGCCCTGAATGTGGGAGTCTGTTCCCAGCCCTGCCACTGATTTTCTGTGTTGCCTTGGGCAAGTCACTCAGTCTTTATTTTAAAAAATCTGCATTCAACTATTCATGCATCTGTGACAATGTTATGTACAATGGTGGAAACCAGCAGGGCTGAGAGGCACCGTGGGTCTGGGGGCAAGGTGTGAGGGGGGCTGGCTCCACACCCCCAGAAGGGGCGGGGCCGGAGTAGTTAGCCCTCAGAGCAGGAGCCTACAAAAACAATGAAGAGTTCCTGTGACACCTTAAAGACAAACAGATTTTATACCCACAGAAGCTTATGAAATAAATTTGCTTGTCTTTAAGGAACCACAGGACTCCTCATTGTTTTACTTCTCTGCGTCTTAGCATACACATATACAATGGAGATACTAACACTTACTTTTAAGGGTGCCATGAAGCTTAGCTGGCCAAGCAGGCTACTCTAAAAAGCCCATGATAGCCACCTTTTCATTATCTTCCTCCTCTGAAATATTAGGGGGAAAAAAACAACAAATCTGCAAGGCCATGATAGGTGATGTGGAAATTGTGTTGAAGTTTTTGTCGGTCAGTTTTGCGGATGAGATGTTGCACTGTGGGTCGATAAAATTCCATTTGGAGGCAATTAAGATAAAACAGACCATCCAAAAGTACCACATCACTGCGCTGAACAGGCACGCTTGGGAAAGAGCCCAAAGAATCTAGCAGGACAGCTAGCTGGAATAAGGGTTTTCTGCAGATGGACAACTGTGATCGGTTGCGATAAGGCAGCTGGAGTAATAGCAGCTAGACAATCACATCTGCACAACCAGTACAAAGTTCAAGTAATTTATTGACAAAAATGTTCCGTCATTTTCTCCAAACCACAGGTTTTTCTTCTCCAGATTTGATGATTCAGTATTAGATCCTCATCTTTCAGAAATCTGCAGCGCTCCACTGAAGTGAATATCCTGGGAGCAAGAATACACCTTCATAACTAGTCGTGAGAGAGGTATTCATTACAAATTTCGACCACCACTATAATGTCACATAAGCCTTCTGACAGCCATTCTAGACTACTGCTTTTGTGAAAGACTCGGCTTACAACTGTCCACTTGAGACAGAAATGCATTCTTCAGTTCGGATGAGCTGGAGCGGAAGTGGTTTTAATCTAGGAAAGTTCGTGATCTAATATATTTATTAGTCACTAAGGTGTAAAGAGTGGACTACCTTAGGGTATGTCTACACTACAATGTTAGTTCGAACTAACGGACGTTAGTTCGAACTAACATTCACAGCCGCTACACTAGCGCTCCGCTAGTTAGAATTTGAATCGAACTAGCAGAGCGCTTAGTTCGAACTAGGAAAACCTCATTTTACGAGGATTAAGCCTAGTTCGAATTAAGGGGTGTGTAGCCCCTTAATTCGAACTAGTGGGAGGCTAGTCCTCCCCAGGTTTCCCTGGTGGCCACTCTGGCCAACACCAGGGAAACTCTATGCCTCCCTCCCGGCCCCGGACCCCTTAAAGGGGCACGGGCTGGCTACGGTGCCCGTGCCAGGTGCAAGCCTGCCAGCACCCAGCTAGC